GCTTCATATCTAAGAAAAACCCTATCTTAGCTCAGCTCAGCAAGCACAGGCCTACCCTGAGAGCTGCCACTGGCCGAGGCAATGAGGGTTCTCAACACTAATATAATGAAATTTGGGATGTGATGCAGGCTGAGAGTGTTTAATGTCTTTTCATCACCCATCCAGTGGCTGCCAAGTGACAGAGCAGCTCTTGGGAAACTCCAGTCCTGTTCCAGATTACATCTTCTCTAAGTAGCATTACATGTTACCTTAAAAATTAAAAGCATAATGCATCTCACATCTAATGTTTACCCTGAATGAGATTCCCAGCATTTCAGAGCTCAGCACAAGGCTTTCATATGGCTGCAGAGTGCTGTGCCCTGCACAGACTCATGACTGTCCATGCCTGGATAAAACACACTGATACGCTGTGAGCCAACTCCCAGCACACTGCCAGTGCCCTGAATACAAGTAACCTACATGTGCAGCTAAAACCAGACACTATCAGCAGGAGATGGAGCAGGTCAGCCTCAATGGAACCAAATTCCTCACAGAAGAGCCAAATCCCTGCTAAAAGCTCACACTGAGCCAGCTCAGAAATCCACAACCCCTGATGCATGTCACTCAAGGCAATCATGGTGCTCGCCTGACACATGTCACTCAAGGCAATCATGGTGCTGCACTCATGGCACACAGCACTGTGACCTGCTGGCAGGAGAGGGTCTCACTCTGACAACCCAGACACCTGCAAGGCATGGAACAGCCCTTTGCACATTCCTCTCGTGGGCACTGCCGTCCCTTAAACCCTGTGTGTCATGATGGAGTCGCTGTGACTGAAGGAATGTGCCTGTCCCCTGGGCCTTACTGAGCACGTTTGCTTAATCAACCAGTAAGCAGGAAAATAAGTTAAGAGGACTTGAAATTCTCTATTTATGTCTATTCTGGAACATAAAACCACAAGCAAAAGCAAACAACTCACTGAAACATCAGCTGTGCTGCATGCAGGAGGTGATTGGCACATCCATACACCCTCACCAGGCCATGGCTGAGTCTGAGCACTCATCATGGGGATAAAGCCTCAACATTACTCTCCCCATCTATGTAAAACTGGTAACTTCCAGCTCCAAGACATTAATTTCAAATCACATTGAGTCAATCCAATGGCTGCAAGAACACAGTGATCCAGGACAAAGGGGTTTCAGCCCAAGCAATTACTGGTCAGCCCTCGTGGACCAGACCAGTGTGTTCTGACACCTTCCACCAGCAGCAGCTGCCTGGGACTCTAAACTACAGGTATGATCCCATCAAACAAACGGGGTGGAACAAATCCACCCATCTGGGGTCAGGGAAGGGGTCTCACTCAGCAAGGGGATGGCAGACATGCAGCAGTACCTGAGCACTGAGCTCTCTCTGCAGAAGGGAGTTCAGGCACTTCCCATAGAATCATAGAATTTAGGGGTTGGAATGGACCTTACAGATCATCCAGTCCCACCCGCTGGCCTGGGCAGGGACACATCCTCACTAGATCAGGTTGCTCAAGGCCTCATCCAGCCTGGCCTTGAACACTGCCAGGGTTGTGGCAGGCCCCACATCCCTGGGGAACCCGTGGCACTGTCTCACCACTCTTTGAGTAAAACACTTCTCACATCTAACCTAGACTTTCCCTCCTTCAGTTTGAACCCATGCCCCAGCTGAGGCTCCTGCCAAGCAGGTGACCACATCTGCAACTACAAGGCTGCAAGACTGGGCCTGAATCACTCCGCTATTAAATCAGAAGATATACAAATAAGGCTGAAATAGGACATGGGGGAATTCTCCAGCCCGAATCTCTTCTTGGGAGTCAGACTTTGGTATTCTGTAATCACCTTCAGTATTCAACTGTCATCTTAACATTGGATTATTCCACCTTTGGCACTGCTGTGGGGGAGATTCCTCAGTCACTCAGCTCCAAGGGAGTTAGAAACACTGAGGTTATTTGGTTTGTGCTTCACTGTGCCCAACCCCACAGTTAGCCCATGCAGGTTTCAAGACAGAGGCTGTTTATAGCTGAAGATGAGCACCCAATGAGCCAAATCCTCTCCTGTTCCTCCAGCTTACACAGAAGGATGGCAATGTCCATATCTGAAGCCATGGACTAATTACAGTAATACCTTAAGGACAAGAACTCCTCTATAGCAGGATTGTTTTATTCAGCCACCTTCCACAGAAGGAATTTCCATCTCCTGCACTGCTGCCTGCATAGTTAATGCATGTACACAGTGTTTGGACACTACCAAAGCTCTTGATTAGAGAAGTTTATTCCAATCAATTGACGTGATTTATGATTCCCTGCGTGAGTTAATATTCTTCACCTTCCTCTTCTCTATCCATTGAGTCTGTGCCCACTTCCGCGTAATCCTTCTCAAGCGCAGCCAGATCCTCCCGAGCCTCTGAGAACTCCCCTTCCTCCATCCCTTCTCCCACATACCAGTGGACAAAGGCACGTTTGGCATACATCAGGTCAAACTTGTGGTCTAGGCGAGCCCAGGCCTCGGCAATGGCCGTGGTGTTGCTCAGCATGCAGACTGCCCGCTGGACCTTGGCCAGGTCACCCCCAGGCACCACTGTGGGGGGCTGGTAATTGATGCCAACCTACAGGAGAAGCAGAAGAGACCATGAGCTTTTCTTTGTGGTGTTTGGCAGGGACTGAAATCAAAGAAGTCAAACAACAGGAGTTGAATCAGAGGGATCACAGAATCATCGAGGTTGGAAGAGGCCTCCAAGGCCATCAAATCCAACCATTAACTTGTCACTGCTGTGACCCCTAAACCACATCCTAGAACACCAAGTCCAGACACCTCTTAAACACCTCCAGGGATGGTGACTCCACCACCTCTCTGGGCAATATTCCAGTGCCTGAACACACTAACACGGAAAACCTTTTTCCTACCATCTCCTCTGCCTCTGCCCTGTCTCAGCTCAAGGTCATTCCCTCTAGTCCTCTCCCTGCAGCCATGGCAGGAGAGACATCCCCCACCTCTCTCCAGCCCCTGTCAGGGAGTTGGAGAGAGCCATGAGGTCACCCCTGAGCCTCTTCTCAAGGCTGAGCAAACCCAACTCCCTCAGCCCTTCCTCACAGGACATGTTCTAGACCTGAATAAAACATTTACCTCACAAAACAAGAACCTAAGTCTCCATTTCTCAAAATACAACCCAGGTACCTCCAGAACAGCTCAGTGAGCAAACACACTCCATAAGCACAGGACAGAGAGCAAGAAGTCCGCCAAAAATCCTGAGTTAACAGACTTGCCTTGAACCCAGTAGGACACCAGTCCACAAACTGGATAGTGCGCTTAGTTTTGATGGCAGCGATGGCAGCGTTGACGTCCTTGGGCACCACGTCCCCACGGTACAGCATGCAGCACGCCATGTACTTGCCGTGCCGAGGGTCACACTTCACCATCTGGTTGGAGGGCTCGAAGCAAGCATTGGTGATCTCAGCCACAGAGAACTGCTCGTGGTAGGCCTTCTCCGCCGAGATAATGGGGGAGTAGGTCACCAGCGGGAAGTGGACGCGAGGGTAAGGCACCAGGTTAGTCTGAAACTCGGTGAGATCCACGTTTAAGGCACCATCGAACCTGAGGGAGGCAGTGATGGAGGAGACGATCTGGCCGATGAGGCGGTTGAGGTTGGTGTAGGTTGGTCTATCGATGTCCAGGTTCCTGCGGCAGATGTCATAGATGGCCTCATTGTCCACCATGAAGGCGCAGTCAGAGTGCTCCAGCGTGGTGTGGGTGGTCAGGATGGAGTTGTAAGGCTCCACGACAGCTGTGGAGACCTGTGGCGCAGGGTAGATGGCAAACTCCAGCTTGGATTTCTTCCCATAGTCAACAGAGAGTCGTTCCATGAGCAGAGAGGTGAACCCAGAGCCGGTGCCTCCCCCAAAGCTGTGGAAGACCACGAAGCCCTGCAGGCCAGTGCACTGATCTGCCTGGAAGGGAGAATACAGGTGGTAAAGACATGGTATAGACAATGAGTCCCAAACCAAGGTCAGACAGCTCTGGATTCTGACACACACCAACTGCCCAAGCTTCAGGAATACTGAATTTGATTTATCTACCAATAAGCAAGGAGGCACCCCATGACAAACACTATTCTTAGCTGATTTGAGCCCCCTATGTACTGCAGGGTGACCTCTCTACTTCAAACCCTACACAGAGCTCCAGGCTGGGGGAGAAGAGGATGGAGAGGTGCTGGTCACAAAGGGACTTGGCAGTGCTGGTGGCAGTGGCTCAGTGTGAGCCAACAGTGTGCACAGGTGGCCAAGAAGGCCAATGGCACCTTGGCCTGTATCATGAATAGTGTGGCCAGCAGGACTAGGGAAGTGATCATCCCTCTGTACTCAGCATTGGTGAGGCCACACCTCAAGTTTGGGCACTCAGGAAGGACACTGAAGCTCTGGAGAGAGTCCAGAGAAGGGCAGTGAGGTCAGAAAAGGTGTAGAACACCTGAAGAAGAGCTGAGGGAGTTGGGTTTGTTCAGCCTTGAGAAGAGGCTCAGGGGTGACCTCAGGGCTCTCTCCAACTCCCTGACAGGGGCTGGAGAAAGGTGGGGGATGTCTCTCCTGTCATGGCTGAGGGGAGAAGGACACTGAAGCTCTGGAGAGAGTCCAGAGAAGGGCAGTGAGGTCAGAAAAGGTGTAGAACACCTGAAGAAGAGCTGAGGGAGTTGGGTTTGTTCAGCCTTGAGAAGAGGCTCAGGGGTGACCTCAGGGCTCTCTCCAACTCCCTGACAGGGGCTGGAGAAAGGTGGGGGATGTCTCTCCTGTCATGGCTGAGGGGAAAGGACTAGAGGGAATGGCATTGCAATATTGCCCAGGGAGGTAGAATCCCTAGAAATGTTTAAGAGGCATCTGGATCTGGTGCTGAAGATACAGTTTAAAGTCTAGGGGTTACAGCAATGGCAGGTTAATGGTTGGACTTGATGACCTTGAAGGTCTCCTTCTAACCTTGATGTCTATTATTCTAAACTACTACCTCAAAACTCTCCCCACCCCCAGTTCTTGGCCAAGGACATTACCAAAGACCAAGAAAACCAGTAACCCTCAGACCCACACACCATCTATCCCTTACGCTGATCTGACATTCTCTACCTGCACAAAAATGGAACAATTCTCCATCCCAAAACTGTTCTAATCCTGTACCGGTTCAGGGAAGCTGAGCTGTCACAGTGCATTACAGTGCCAGTCAGCTCAGTCTCCTCAGCTGACGAGACAGCCCTGTCCTCACAAAGAGGTGCCACATGATGCTCAGCTCAATTCCCAGGGATGACAAGGACTCCCAACAGCCTGCTACAAAGCAATTACAACCATGTTTTTCAGGTCAGGGTACAGCCTGCTGCAAACTTATCTTTGCTTTCATTAGACACTGTGGCAGCCAAGTGTTGAGAATAATTCCAGTTGTGATCTGCAAAAGGTGAACTTCTCAGCCAGACTCACTCAGCATTCAATGTCAGAGCACCAGAGTTACACCCTGGGCTGATTGTGCAGGGAAATTCCTACCTCTGTGGCACAGGTTGGGTAACATACATGTAACAACCCTAAAAAGGGAACACAGGCCTCCTAATCTGTCATCTTCAAAAGTCTGCCATGTGATCAAAGTACTGGGGAGCCTGAAACATCCCAACTTACTGACATTCCTTGTCTACTGTTATTACCATAAAATTAATCCAGAAATTATACCAGCAGGAAATGCAAAGAGAAGACTAACCCACAGAAGCAAACACTCCTATGTCAACATCCTTGAGAGAGGCACAGCCAGAGACCAATCCTTCTCCAGCAGGAACTGTGCAAATGGTAATTTTTCAGTCCTGGCTTTCTGAAGTTGGACAAGAAACTATGCATAAAATTTTAGGTGCCTCATCAGCATTTTAGGCCACTTGAAAGCCATATCTGGCAGGACTAATCCAGCCATTCTCAGCTGGCTAAGAGTAAAACCAGATGTAACTCCACAGATTCTCCCCCCACAAAACAAACAAAGCACAGTTTATAGGGCTGCATTTGATAGCCTAATTTCCAAAACCTGTAAAACAGGATAAAATTATGTGTAAGAGCCTTCAGTAAGAAAAGTCTTACCAGCTTCCTGATACGATCTAAGACCAGATCAATTATCTCCTTCCCAACTGTGTAATGACCTCGAGCATAGTTATTTGCAGCATCTTCTTTCCCAGATATCAGTTGCTCAGGATGAAAGAGTTGTCTGTATGTGCCATTCCGAACTTCGTCTGGGGAGAGACAAGATAAATATTATAGAATATACAAATATTATTTATAAGTTAATTTTCTTCGTAGATCAGGTTTCTCAAACTCCTCGGGGTGTCCAGAATAAGGTATCTAAACCCTTAAATAAAAAGCAGTTTGATTCCTACCTATCAGTAGGTGACATAATACTTACTACCTCCTAAACATTTAATAACTGAGAAAAATCAAGTTACTGCTTAAGCAACTGTCCCATTTTACACTCAAGTTTAAAACACTGACCTGTCAGAGCAATGTATAACTGGACTGCAGCAGCAGAATCATTCTCCCAGTTTAAGACAACTCAAGGCCCATTTTTAGCTCAGCAGCCTAAGTCCTGCTTTTCCCCCTTATTTCCCAAGCCCTGCAGGATGTGCCTTATTGCTTCTGCAGCTGTGGGCAGGCACAGCTGACACTTTGTCCCCTCCTTTCTCTTCATGGTGCTTCCTGCCAAGGGCAGAGAAGGGTTCAGAAGGAACAGGAGATGCTCCTGGAGAGCTCTGCAGCTACCCAAACCCGGAGCTGTAACTCCAGCGCACACAGCTGTGTTAAGCTGTGCAGATGCACACACAACATCCCCACACTTGGAGACTGAGTCAGTGGTGATCTCCACTAGTTCCCAAGAATAGGCATTTCCATCTAGCAGGCTAAAGCTCTGTCCTTCCACAAAAGTACAAAGACACTCAGCAGAGCTTTGTCTCTGGTTTAGCTCGAGCCATTCCTGAGTTGTGTGCTAGTGCAGTACTGCAGCCTTTAATTACAGTCAGGTGGGCAGCAGAGCTTTATTAGCTACAGCTGAAGTTGCCTGTTTGCCTGTATTCATTAATCTCAGAGCAAGCAGAGAAGTACAAGTCAAGAGTTGAACATACAGTTACCCTTTGAAGCATTATGGCTGAGCAGCTACCACTGCAAGCCAAGAGTCTGAGGTATTTCTAACAGTGCATCCAAATAAAAAACAAGCCCTACCATCCAAAACACTCTGTGTCTGAGACTTTCTGCATTATCACTCCAAGTTATAAAGCACAAATATGGGTAATAAGAGAAAACACAGAACCTCAAGAAGAAAGCTGGTAGGGGTAGCATGAGGCAAGATAGGAGGAAGAAACAAAACTTGTAGAGTTCAGAGGATCAGTCACTGGACTACAAGAGTCCAGTGTTAGGGGACAGCTACACCAAACCTGCCCCAGACCTGCTATCCTTCATGGTTTTAAGTCTAGGTGGGATATTCTTTTAATAACATTGAATTTACTCAACACAACTGACCCACTGGAGAGCAGCTCTGCAGAGAAGGACCTGGGGAACAACAAACTGTCCCTGCCCAGCAGTGTGCCCTGGTGGCTAAGAGGCCAATGGAATCCTGGGACAGATTAGGAAGAGCATTGCCAGCAGGTCCTATCCTTCATGGTTTTAAGTCTAGGTGGGATATTCTTTTAATAACATTGAATTTACTCAACACAACTGACCCACTGGAGAGCAGCTCTGCAGAGAAGGACCTGGGGAACAACAAACTGTCCCTGCCCAGCAGTGTGCCCTGGTGGCTAAGAGGCCAATGGAATCCTGGGACAGATTAGGAAGAGCATTGCCAGCAGGTCCAGGAGCTGAGCTGGACCCTTTGCTCAGCCCTGGTGGGGCACATCTGGAGTACTGAGTCCAGTTCTGGGCTGCTCAGGACCAGAGAGACATGGAGCTCCTGGAGCAGGTCCAGGGGAGGGCAATGAAGACACTTAAGGGACTCGAGCACCTCACTTAAGAGGAAAGGCTGAGGAGTTAGAGCTGTTCAGCCTCAAGAAGACTGAAAGACCTCATCAATGTATATAAGTATGTGAAGTGTCAGAGGATGGATCAGGCTCTGCTCAATTGTGGAAACCAATAAACCAAGAGATAACAGCAGAAACTGATGCTCAGGAAGTTCCACCTGAATATGAGAAAACTTCACTGTGCAGTGACCAAGCACTGAACAGATTGCCCAGAGAGGTCATGGATTCTCCTTCACTATTCCAGAGCCATCTGGACACAACCCTGAGCCATGTGCTCTGGGATGGCACTGCTGGAGCAGGGAGGCGGGACCAGATGACCCACTGTGGTCCCTCCTAACCCTATTCTGTGAAGGTAACTGAAATGCCCTGCAGGTCAGTGTTACCTATGACTGCAGGCTCCAGGTCCACGAACACAGCGCGAGGGACGTGCTTGCCAGCGCCTGTCTCGCTGAAGAAGGTGTTGAAGGAGTCGTCGCCACCCCCGTTGGTCTTGTCGCTGGGCATGGTCCCGTTGGGCTGGATGCCATGCTCCAGGCAGTACAGCTCCCAGCAGGCATTCCCAATCTGCACTCCTGCCTGGCCCACGTGGATGGAGATGCACTCACGCTGCAGAAAGAAACACACCATTCAGCACACACAGCTCTGCCCTGGCTGCCAAACACCCAGCACAGCCAGCCTGGACACAGCCTGCACAGACACTTGGACATTGGCCTCATTGTCCTGCTGTTGGGGCATTTGGCACAAAAGATAACAGAACACAAAGTCCCTTTCAGTCATCGGCAGCTCCACCAGGAAAGACCCTTTTGGACATTGCCAATTCTTACAAGCTCACTCCTCCTTGTTGTTCTTCAGTCAGACAGGAAGAGTCTGATCAACTCTTCCAAATCCTCCAGCCAACTCTTCCTTTCATAGCAAACACTGAGTAGGAACAACTGATGACAGCACCTGTCACCAGCTAAAAGTTTCATGGAATGTTCAGGGGTTGGAATG